ACACAGATGGACTTTTACGTGGCTAAGCAAGGGTGGATTGCCATGTTGGTGGCACTGTTCCGGAGGACACCGTGTGTAGGTGAGGCCCAGCAGCAGCTTTTTGTCCTGCTGGCACCTGAGGCTTAGAAGCAGGGCCTGGATGTTTGCACTTTGGGATCTGGTGGTTTGAGTTAATTTGGGGCATTTGAAGGTGGTTTGGGGGCATTTCTGGAAGGTATTGAGCTGGTCTGGGGGCAATTTGGGCTGTTTGTGCCTAATTGGGAGTAATTCCAGCCATTTGGAGGCATTTTGGGTGAATTGTGAGTTGCTGTGGGGACTTGTGGGTCATTTGGGGGAGTTTTGGGCTATTTGGGGGCTGGTTTAGGATGGTTAAAGCCACTTTGGGGGTAATTTGAGCTGATTTGGGGCAATTTAGGTGGGGTTTTGTGTAGTTTCATAGAATAGTTAGGGTCGCAAAGCACCGTAAGGTCATCTAGTTCCAACTCACTGTATATAATAGCTAGGGTTATATTTCAAAGGTTGGGGATATATGTCGAGTTTTTGACACAGGACGGCAGTAGCGAGGAGCGCCGAGCACCACACTGCACCCCTTCCATCCCGACCCCTATCTGCAGTACTGAGTTTTGGACACAGGATGGCAGCACCACCACAAAAATCCCAAACGTCATTTTTTTCCCCCCAAAATAATTCTGTAGATTCTCCCACCACCACCTTGCAGAATCAGGGGTCTTCCTTAACCCAAGTGTGGTGTTTGGATGAAAAACGAGATCAAAACAAAGCCAGGCTTCGAGTCCCGTTGTCTTCCTATTTATTCCAGCATAAGCTAGTTAAAGCTACAGGAAATAGGCTTTCCCACGGTGACCGGGCATCTTGAAAAAGAAACACCACAATAAAATGTTCTGCGGGCCCAGAGAGGGGATAGGGGCAGAGGAGGCAGGTTTCACAGGCCAAGGCCCCATATGTCTGTGTACCTGCCCCTTGCTGAGATGCCGAGTAGCAGCTCTCCTGGGGCGCTGGGGCACCTGGAGGTTCATGCGATATCTCCCAGAAGAGCTGCCACCCTGCCCTGCATCTCCCTTGATGCTCTGGAGGGCAGCCCTGGAAAGCACCATGGCCCAGGGCAGGTGGGCTAGAGGTGCTAGAAGGGACAGTCACAACTGCAGCCGCAGATCTTTGCTTTCCAGCACTGGCTGGACCTCCGCCGAACGCACGAAGTGCTGTGGAAAAAGAGCACTAGCAAGGCAGTGCGGCGCAGGAGGAAAGAAAAGGGCTGGAGGAGCATTTCAAATACTTTATTTAAAAAAAAAAAAAAAATCCCAGTTAAAAACATCATGGCTGTGTCCCTCCCTGGGCAGAGGCACAGGCTGTGCCCCAGGCCCCGTCTCCAGGAGGGCAGTGCAGAGGCCGTGCTCCTGCCCCCAAGGCAACACAGTGCTGGGCTTGGGCCACAGCTCTCTTGAAAAACATTTAAAACTAGTTGTGAGAATAAACTCCGTGGTGTTGAAGAAGGAAAAAGGGAAGCTCTGCAGTCACTGAAAGGCTGTGGGGCCCAGACTCCTGCCTGGGAAGAGCCATGGTGCCCAGCAGCTTTTCTTCTTTAAAGAGAAAAACATCACCAACCACCAGTACTTTCTTCCAGATTTCCCCGACAGCCACGAATTTCACCAGCTGCTCACATAAACACACCATCTTCCCCACAGGAAATGCTCTTGCAGAAACCTAAACCTTTCTTTTGTGCTAAACAACATGCTTCAGATTCCCTGCAAATAAAATGAGGCAGAAGACAGGATTTCCACTGATGGTTCAGCCTGCCAGGGGCAGTGGTGCCACCCCTATGCCTGACAGCCTGGACAGCGTCAGTGCAGCCCCTGCTCCCTGCTGACCCCTTGCTCCCTTTGCAGAGGCTGCTGCCCTCCTCCCAGTCGTACTCAGGCAACTACCAAAGGGAGACGCTGCCACCACATCCCACTACAACCTGCAACTGGTTTGGATTCATGGGCCAGCACTGGAGGGGCACATGCTTACTCCAGGCTGCCTTGTCCTTCCTCTCTGCCAGATGCACTGCCAGAAGTGTTCAGCACAGATCCCTCCCAACTCTGGAGCAATGCTGTTCCTCCTCTCCTGGACAGGTCAGGTGGGATGTCCCGTCCCTAGGACTGGCCTATGCTTGGAAATGGACAACCCAAGGCATCCACAGCATCTCCTACCCACCTCCTACTCTGTTTTGAATACCAACATATCACAACAGACAGAGTGGAAAGGGCTGCAACAACCTGTCTCACTACCTCCAGCTCCTCCTGGGGACAGGGGCAAGACAGATGGGCAAGGGCGTCAAACAAGGCTGGCAGGAGGTTGCCAGGCTCACCCAGCTGCCTGACCTGGACTCCCAACAGCCTTCAATCTCCTGCCTGGCTAAAGGACTGTCCCAGCTCCTGAGGAGATGCATGGAGATCAGGTGGGGAACCACCTTTGCCCTCATGCAAGTCCCAGCCCTGCAGAAAGCTCTGAGAAGAGCAAGGCAGCTCTGGCTCTTCCCAGTGGAAGGATGCTGCAGGAGTTGGCCCCAGGGACACTACACATACTCCTGCCAAAGGCAGAGCAGGGGCTCTTGTTAGGCCCGAAATTAAAAAAAAAAAAAAAAAAAAAAAATAGCTGGGGCTTTGTTGGACCCCAGGCAAAGCACTCATCATCTAATCCTCAATTCTGGAGCAGCTCAGTGCACCAATGGGTTCTGTCACCTTATTAAGGGGGGGTTTGTTTAAAAGTAAGGTCAGGTTTGTAAAGAACTGGTGACACTGCCAGTTCACCACGTGAACATGCCATGGTGAGAGACCATACTTGAAAAAGATAATCATCATCCTATTTGAAAAGCCACAACAACCAGGTGAAGTCCCCAGTGAAGAGAGGGAAACATTGGCCAGTCAGCCTCACCTCTGTGTCCAGTCAAGTGAATGTGGTTCATCTTTCTAGTCTGTGAGGAAGACTCCAATGAGCTTTCCTGAAGTCCTCTCTAAGACAACATGTCAGCCTGGAGCAGGAGTGTTGGCTTGGACAACTCACCTTTGATCGAGTTAATGATTTCTTGAATTCTCTGTGGCTCGTTGCGATCTGGTCTGCAGCTTGGTGTGATCTCCAGCACATAATCCGGACCATACTCTGTAAAGAACTGCAGGGAAGAGGAGAGTAGAGTCAGTGTTGAGGCCTCTGGTGGGCTGCAGCTCTGAGAGAGCTCCCCATGGAAACCTGTTTGTAAAAAGAGAAGAGCATTTTCTCCACCTGAGGGGCACAGGTATCTTAACTGCATCAAAGAGGTGCAGTGTCTGTGCCAGCTTGAAGTTTGCAGCCACTATCAATTAAAGGGCTTGGGAAGCAGAGCTCTGTGGTGCAGCCAGAAGTCTTTCCCAGTGCTTTATTTGGGAAAGCCGGTGGTACTCATTTTACTCATGGTTCCCTGCAAACCCGTTTGTTTGGGTTTTTTTTCTATGAACAAAATTCAAGTGCTGCCTATCAGATATCCTTTCTTCCAGATATCCACCCCACCTTGCAGAATGCTGCATTGACATGACTGTGAAACACCTGGAAGTAGAAAAATCAGAGTGCTTTAAGGTTAATAATGTGTCTTTCCAATAGGGTGCAGCTGAGCCTGAAGGAGAAAATCTGTACCATGTGGGCTCTACACAGTAATGCAGAATCCCAAATCACTGCCAGCAGGTTTATTTCACAAGTACACAGCGCTGCCCAAAGACAATGACACACTAGGATTAAAAATTCTGTGCTGAAGTTGCAATAGGTCCTGTTGCTATCCCTGGAGAGCTTCACCCCATGGAGAGCTAGTTTGGACTTCAAGCTATTGCACCAGACAGGGATATTCACAGAACCACAGTCTCCCAGGTGATTAATGAATGAAGCACAGGGCTGAGATTTTCTTTAAGAGTGAGATTGGAGGCAGCAGATCTGGCAACCCAAGACTAACATCTCTGCACTACCAGGGGCAGGAAGGGCTTCTCCAAACAGACCTCAACATGCCAGTACTGACAAGGAAAACGAAGTTATTTAAGCACACCTCTCAAAAAGCATCTTGTAGCTGTAATCACCAGTTTCTATAATGATGAATTTCCAGTTTCAATGCACAGTGCTTTACTTTCTCATGCATACTGATCCATGAGATCCTTAGACAAAGGCAAACCCATAATTCTCTGAGTCACTGTAGGTTAGAACTGCTTTGCACATGCAGGTTTGTTTCTGTAGGGTCAATAACTTTGATCTGTATTTTGAGACCTATTATGAACCTGTAGCTGTTCCACCCAGGTTCGGTCTAGATTATGCCTCTCCAACCACCTGCCCAGCCCCACTCAAGACAGGAACTGAGGCAGCTCATGTGCAGTTGTGACCAGTACCCAGCCCCACAGCAACACCCACTACAGCACTGGTGGTCAGGAAAGCTCCAGAGCTGCACCTTGTACTTCCTGTAAGTCGATGAAAGCAGGGCTAAAACGTAAAACCTTCACAAAGGCCTGGCATAAAGTACATGCATACCCAGAAGAGCTCTCTCGAGCACAAGGGTGACTCCCCCTCCCCATCCTCTCTGTAATTATCAGAGACTGGAAGTTACTGGCAACTGTGATCCCTTGTGAAAAGGTGCAGACAGCCCCAGGGTTTGGGACCAGGCACCTGTGACATTTCTAGGGTACTGTGTTATTCTTACAGGAGTGTCTCAACAGAACAGTACTGAGCAGCAAGGAAGCCACTTGGATTAGGGAGAATAACTCAGCTCTTGTGCACAGAGAAGGAAGGGTTTATCAAAGCTTTACCTCGTGATCAGGGATCTCAGAGGACAGCGTTCTCCCAAGGATGACGCCAGTCAAATATGTCCAGCAGCGAGCTGTGTTGGCGAGGTTGTAGCCTCCTGTCTCCGGCAAGATTTGTGATTTTGGAGGGGGGAAAAGTGGGAGAAGGGAGATTTTAGTGGAAGGAACAAATTGTGGAGGCAACACACACAGTTTACATGAATTCAGCTTGCTTCATCCACTCAAGCTGTGCCCTGCATTTTGCACCTGCTGGCTATATAAGGCCAGGTTGGAATGACACTGTATGCAAGGGCAGACCTCACAAACTGAACCCCAGTTACACCCAACATGCACAGGCCAGAGTCCTCCAGTCATCATCTCAGACCCAGCATAAGCCACCAGCCCCATGTGCTGGGCTCTCTCCTGGCAACAAGGACAGGAGTTCAAAGTTAGCAGAGAGGGAAGTGCAAGGGTAGCAGTGGAGATGGGGGATCCCTGCTTTATAATGCCAGCCTCCAATCCATAAAGCATGATATACCTGTCAGGCCATTTGCTGGTGAGCTCTTCAGCCATGTCATGTTTGAGAGGACCAATATGAAGCCATTAGTACAACCTGGCACTCAGCGGGTTTTGTTAATCTGAAATGCTGTGTTGTATAAAGCCTGTCCTGACCTCTCCCTGCTGGATAAGCAGCTGGTGATGCAGTACGACAGAGCTAAGTCATCATTAGCTTTCAGAGCCCTTCTACATTATACAGGCAGCCAACCCTTTTCCCAAGTCCCTGCTTGAGTACAAACGAAATCATTCACTGCCAGATGCCCAAGATAAATTTGGGAACACAGCGCTTGTTTTTAAAGAGAAGTGCTGAAGGGCTGATGAGCAGAGATGGGAATCAGAGGTGCCATTGAGAAGCCAGTGTCAGTTCATCGGGGTTAACAGCCTCTGCTCATCTTCAGAGGGGCCAAGGAGCCTTTAACCCAAGATCTGAGGGTCAGGATTGAGTCTTGCACCTGTCAGCATCAAGGATTTCAGGTCTGTGTGAAGACAGCACCATGGTACAGAGCACTCTCCTGGCACTGCCTGCAGCCACCCTGATGAACTCCAGCCAGAGCCGAGCCCAGGGCACCCACTTGAGGACAGGCCACAGGACAAACCCATCTTCCTCATGACCAAACAGCAGGACGGGTGCACTCACCTCCTCCCAGGACGAGGGTCGCCAGCTGCCACTGCAGGACGTACTTCAGGCACTTGCCCACTCCCTCGGGCGTCATGTTGAAAGAGCACATGGGATCCCCAGCGATGGTGTCTGCCCCCAGCTGCAGCACAACCGCGTCTGGGTTGAACACAGCATACACCTCCTTTAGCACACTGTGAAGAGGAGCAGCAGCAGGGGTTACTGCAGACATGGCTCGGAGGGTGCTGGTGGTATGGCCCTGGTCCTCCAGATCAGCTTAGGCTTCTCAAGGTTTCTGCATTCTCTGCTCCCACCCCCCTCATACCAGTTATGCTCCCTCTGCTCCATCAGCCTTCTGCCTCTGCTACTATCCTGCAGTTTAGCTCTCAAAGCACTCATCACAAGGCTGATGAAGGCAAAAGCATTACTGAGAACACAGGGGATGGGGTCTAGTCCTAATCAGCTAAGTGGTAGCATCAAACCACGTTTACATCAGCTGCCCTGAGTGGAAGAGCTGCAAACCAAACCCACGGGCTTTTCTCTCCTGTAAAAGTCACAGTGAAAAAACAGGTCTAGAGAAATAGTAATCCTAAACTCCTAGACACCTCTTACAAGGGCAAGATGAAGAGAGGAAGGCTCTGTCTAGGTTCTCATTCTCCTCTCTCCCATATGGCTCAAGGCAGAAATACATTTTCCCTGGCTCTAGTGGATGCTGGGGTGCCTGGAGATAGTTCATGAGCAGTATTCTCTCTTGAAGAAGGCAGTTGGGCATGTCAGACACTTGGCTTTGCTCCAGGTTTTTAGTATTATGAACACCAGAGAGATAATAATCCTGTTTGCAGCACTGTGCTCCAAAGCCCAAAATACAAGGAAAAATAATGGAGGAAAACATGGTCTTTTCACAACAGTGTTTTTATCTTGCTAAAGTAGAAACAGATGTGAAAACAAAACAAAAGCTGCTTGGAAAACACTTTCAGCTCAGACCCAAGCACATCTCTCACAGATAGTCAGGGTTCAAGTCCACAGCTAAAAAGTGTTTGTCCTGGTTTCAGCTGTAGCAGGCTTAATTCTCTTCCAAGTATCTGGTGCAGTGCTGTGTTTGGGCTTTAGTCTGGGAATAACACTGGTGATGCACTGATGGTTTAGTTGTTGCTCAGTTGCATTTACCTTGATCAAGGACTTTTCAGTTCCTCGTGCTTTGCCAGTAAGGAGGGGCACAAGGAGCCGGGAAGGAGCAGAGACAGGACACCGGACCTGAACTAGCCAAAGGCGTACTCCATATATCTCACAGCATGTCGTGCTCGGTATAGAAACAGGGAGTTACCCAGAAGAGATGGGTCGCTGCTTGGGTTGGCTGGGTATCACTCAGCGGGTGCTGAGCAAAAGTATTGGGCATCACTTGTTCTTTCTCAGCAGGGTATGGGGTTTATTCCTTCCTCTCTCTTCATTTCCCTTTTCAACTAGTATTAATGTTTACAATATTTTATTTACATTACTAAACTGTTCTTACCTCAGTCCTCAGGTTTTTACGTTTTTGCTGATTCTCCTCCCCATCCCAGGGCAGAGTGAGCCAGCAGCTGCCGGCTGGCCTTAAACCACGACAGTCCTTCTCAGTCTCTCTTTAAACACAGAAGGCTGATCCGTGGCAAAGAGACCCTCCAGCCACCCACTAATGCCTCTGTATGTTCGGTTTGCTTAAGGATTCAGAGACCTCTGAGACTTCTTAAGATCAGCGTTTGCTGTAACCAAAATCTCTAACAGGGGAAGGAGAAGCCTTAAGGAAGGACCATAATTTAAAATAGTAAATAAAAAAAATCTATGTGGTCTATGTTCTATGAAATCCCATCCAAGTAAACCAGATCAAAGCAAGAGGGCTTACGTTTCACAGATCTGGTAATATCTCTCATCCTGAATGCCATCTTGAATGGGTACATTCACGCTGTAATAGCGACCTTTCCCCAGGCCAACATCTGTCACATCCCCAGTGCCTGAAAAACAGAGGACACCCCACAGTGAATTAAGGGAAGCAGATCAGAAACAAGAGAAATGTCTCGGATGAGAGCAGAGAGCTCAGACCTTTGGCATGCTCATGGAGAGGTCCACCCGCCACCACCAATAAAGGAGGGGCTGGATGGACCTGGTTCTCACCCCCTGCCCAATTTTGTCGCGCAGCTTTCACAAGTGTGCAGGTGGCCACCCAGCAGTGGCTCTGCCAAGCTCAGCCACAACCACAAAGCGGGAAATGTCAAACATCCTCGTCTTCTCCTGGGTCAAGAGCAAAGGCAGCGAGACACCCCCGCTGGACAGAAGAGATGGGACCTGCCTTTGCTGGAGCCTTGTCAGTGATGATCTTAAGGTCTTTTCCAACCCTGACCATTCTATGATTCTACATGTGAACTGAATTAGCACAAACCTCCTAAGTTCAACTTGCCTGGGAAAAATCCTGGTGAAAACTTATGCAGAGAAACAGTCATTACTTTTGAGGTAAAGCTAAAGGCATCTTCAACTCCTGTCAGAAAAGGAAGAGAAAAAAGTTTTCACGCATCATTCACATAAATGACAGCCACTCAATAAATGAGCCACTCGATAAACATGGGGCTGCAAACAGAGCAAGAACAGAACAAACAAAGCAGAAAAACAGATGTGGCTCAATAACTCCATCCTTAATCAAGGGAGACCTGAATTTGACTGCAGCAAAGGTCACAACTGAAAAGTATTCGGCAGGTCTCATGCTAATCAGTACTGAATGGGTCTGAATGCCTTACACTGCCCATATTAGCAGCCCTCCTCGCCTGCACTGCTGGGCCTGCCAGGCTTGGGGAGGGAGCTGAGCAGGGATGCCTTGGCCAGAGCTTGGCTGTGATTAGCAACAGAGCACCCAGGCTTTGGCTTTTCCTCAGCACTCCTGCAGTTCAACACACCTTTCTTTTCTTTAAAGGCACATTAAAATAGTTGGGGTGGGAAGGGAAAAAGAAGTAACAGGAAACTTAAGAGAAACCAAATGTAGGGGGAAATGGAGCAAAATGAAACACACCATAAAGTTCACAAGAGCAGGAAACGTTAAATGGTGTTGAAATAATGTTTCTGAAGGAGAGAGTGATTTCAGCAAGGCCAGCACTAGCTTTCATTTTATAGCATCAAGAACTCTTTTAAAAGCACCGTTTACTACTGCTTCCCTCTTGCACTGGTGGCATCAAACAATCAAACACTGTCAGCAGCTGCTCTGCCGGAAGGAGAAACAAGGGACTGGGGAAAGTTCCTGCCACTAACACAGGGGACTACTGAGATGGGAACACGCTGTTTGTTGCTTTAGGTACAAGACTGCTGCCCAGACCCTCAAGAGAGGTCTGATGAGTAGCACAGGGTAAATCCATAAATCAGGACAAGGCAGAAATGGACTGAGGGAACTTGACTGCACTGAAAGGAGGCAAAGCCACAGCTGCTTCAGCAGGTACAGCCCCACTGCACCGACATGCCTTGATTTCTCCCATTCCCCCTCTGAGGCAGTGCTGCTGTGCTGTCTGCAGCCTGCACCAGCCCTTACCATCCCCATGATGCAAATCCAAGTCGATATAAAGGACGCGGTCAAATTTCTGGCGCAGCCGCAGGATGCCCAAGACGGCGTCGTTCAGGTAACAGAAGCCAGAAGCTTCATCTCTGTGGAAGCAACGTCTGTGAGTTTGTACATTGCCAGCACACCACTGATCTGATCTTGGCATTATCACCTTTATTTCGCAAGTCTCCACCTTGTGGGTGCACAGAGGAGTATGAAGAGTTTGGCCAAGGCCCAGCACCAACCGACGGATGGGTCACAAACAGCTCAAAGCATGGCCGTGGAGCACAGAGAACATGACACCTTGTGACAATGGCTTCACAACCCTGGGCTTGCTGGCAGCTGGTAAAACATCAGCTGGCTCTGCTGCAGAGAGGCCTGAGCCATGGAGGGCTTGGGCTTGACCATCTCGCTGTTGCACAAATAAATTTTTGCTTTCTGCAGCTGAGGTATTTTAAGTTCAGAGCCACCCAACTCAAACACATTCTCCACTGTTACCTCCTCTCCCTCTGCAGCAAGAGAATGGGCCCCTGAACAGTCCTGCTTGGCCCTCAGGGTATGAAGGTTAAGCCTCTTCCCAAAGCAACTCTCTCCCTTCCTGCCCAGGAAAACACAAACAGGATGCCCCACAGGCAGTCCCTCACAATACAACTCTTGGGGTCAGCCAGACGACAGCCCCAGCAGCTAAACAGAGAACAGATGTTGCACAGAAAGATTTATCCATCCCTAAAATACATCAGGGGGCAGCTTACACACTGCTGGTATGACAGGAAAAAGTTTATTAATCCCTACTCCAAACTCTTCTAAGTCAAGTCCCCAGCACTGCTTGGCAGTAGCCCACTGCACTCCTAGTCAGCCCCGGAGAGCTGATTTAAGCCAAAGCTTTACACTTTGCAACAGGAGTGTCCAAACCCCTATTCCCCAGGCTCAAATGACTCCAGGATCTGAGATGTGCCTCTTGGAAATGCTTCTTGACTTTCAGCCCCAGCATTCCCCTCATTTCCTGACACTCCCCTGCTCAGCAAACAGCTGGAAACAGCGAGGAGCAGACATGGGGTGGCAGAACTGCACTCGCTCTCACTCCCTGCAAATGTCACAGAGCACAGATGCTTCCCAGTGACTCTGTTCATTTACAGTGATGCTGAGAACTGGGAAGCTAGCAGGTACCCTGGGAATCTTCCTTAACTGTGATTAGAAACCACACTCCTCCCCTCCTTCCCAGCCTGCAAGGAAGCAAAGTGGACTACATCATGTGTCAGGCACTCTCTCCATGCCGTAACACACTCACTCTTTCAAACTTGAGGCCAAGAAGAGCAGGACTCTCTCTGAGGCCAAGCTCAGAGGCTGACCAGCATCAGAGCTGCAACTCAGAGCCAGCACTTGGGATTTCCCCATCCCAGGTCCACACAGCAGAGCTTGGGCAAAGGTCAAGAAAATGCGCCAACTCAGCATCTTGCCCTTGCCCCAAAGGCACTCCAGGAAACCAAGCATGATGACAGCGGTTACCATTCCTACCTTCAGGTAAGTAATTAAGCCACCAGACATTAAGTCTTTTTTGACAAAAGGACATGTATTTTGCTAGAGCACAGGTCCTAGCACTAGACACCTGTAGCTCAGCATCAGTCTTGCTGGACCTTCACACTGGACCAGCACCTACCAAAGCTGCTGCCTGCCCTGAGCATCCTGCACCATCTCACTGGAGTGACTGAGAAGGCTCCTTTGAGATCAGCAGGTATTCAATGCCTTTTTAAAACACTGTTTGCTTCCCAGAATAGGGGTAACAGCACAGCTCGGTGGCAGCAACACCGTGAAGGTTTCTTACAGGCATTTTATAAGCTATGCAATCAAGATAGAAGAGAAGATTTTTAAAAGCCATCCCTCCTGTGAAGAGCTTCAGCTCAGCCAGGCTGGACCCTCTCCTTCCCCAGCAAGCTGCAGCTGAACCCATACTCAGCAAAGTGCTGACCAGGAAAAGGGTCCTGGTGTGATGCCGGCATCGCTGGTGGTTGCACCCACTGCTACACCTCCGGTTTCTCTGCCAGGTCAGAAGAGTCACGGGAGCAAGAGAAATCTGCACACCCATACACAAGTCTTTAGGGTCAGATATGTGATTCCTGCTAATTTCTGGGGCTCCCCAGGGAAAAAGAATGGTGCTGCAAAAGCCAGATTGCTGGGCACAAGGAAGGCTGCCATCCTGTCCACATTTGCAGACAGGCCTCATATTCTGGGAGATGTGGGACACAAGTTAAAATAAAACATACAAAACAGGGAGGCCACAGAAAAATTATTTTACCACTAGAGATCCACAGGATCCAGGGACGAAATTTTTACTGCCTCTCCTGTTGTTCTGGAAGATCATTATTAACATCAGAGATCAGAACAAAAAGCCACCCACAGAGCATGGAGAGAACAGTGGTCAGTCCTGCACTGTTTCAGACCTCTTATTTAAGAAACCAAAAGGCCACACAAACCAATTTGGATGTGTTCCCATTCTCTTCCAAGTTAGGATTGACAACAATCATCTACCTCTCCACAGCCCTTCTCTATGGAGTTTGCAAAATCAATTCTCACTTGAACTCCAAGAGATAACCAAGTATCCATGGATGTTGGGACACCTCTGAATCTATCTGCCCCAGACCTGCACCGTAGTTCACGATAGCATAAGGACTGGGCAGTAATCCCCCTAGTCTCAGGCCTCTGCCCTACACTCTGCTTCTTCCTGCAGAGTATAGGGCAGAGGGCTACCTCCTGACCTTCCCTCACACCCCTCTCACATCCTGCTTTCTCTTCCAGCCGAATGGCTGCACTCTGAGGGTTCAAACAGAAGCTGGGAGCTAGGAGCAGGGTTTACACACTGGCTGAGAAAACACAAGGGAAGAGATTGTTTTCTTACTTTTTTGCATGATGCCACCCTCCAGGCCAGTTAATGGCTACTTTGCACTTGCCATCCAGCAGACACTGGGCTGCAGTGATGGTGGCTCCTCCCACAGCTGACGCATACTCAAAGATCCCTTCGGTAGCTGGACAGTCATAACCTGTGGGCAGGAGTCCGTGTGTCAGACACAACAGGCCTTTTCCTCCGCAGGAAGCACATTTCACTTTGTTTTAAGCTTGCTCTCTCTTTAACCATTGCTCTTTCTGTACCAGGCACAATGAAAAAGGCACAGCACAAACCTCTGCAGCCCAGGGAGGTTAACAGTGGTGCAGATCATAGAATCATGGACTAGCTTGGGTTGGAAGGGACCTTAAAGATCATCCAATCCCCCTGCCATCTGCAGGGACCTACACCAGGTTGCTCCAAGCCCCTGTGCCCACCCTGGCCTTCAACCCTGCCAGGATGGGGCAGCCCCAGCTTCTCTGGGCACACTGTGCCAGCACCTCAGCATCCTCATAATAAAAAAATTTTTTCCTACTGTCTAATCAAAATTTACGCCATTCCAGTTTAAAACCATTTCTCATTGTCTTGTCACCACAGGCCCTTGTAAAAAGTCCCTCCTCTAGAATTTTTGTAGGCCCTTTTTAGGTATCGGAAGACTTTTATAAGGTCTCCCTTTCAGGAGCCTTCTCTTCTCCAGCTGACCCAGCCCAGCTCTCTCGGCCTGGCTCCAGAGCAGAGCTGCTCCAGCCCTTACAGCAGCTCCGTGGCCTCCTCTGGACTCACTCCAACAGCTCCACCTCCCTCTTGTGTTGTTGCCCTAGACAACATGTGATGAACTGACCACAACCTCCATTCCCCATCTCCTTGCACTGCTCAAGAAGGTAGAAAAGCTGGGAGTGAAGTTGAGACTATGAAGAAGGGTGGATGAGGGGGACTGTAATTTCAGTTTTGTTTTCAGTTCTCACTGTCTTACTGTTATTAATTGGCAACAAACTGAATTCATTTCCCTAAGCTGAGTCTGTTCTGCCTGTGATGGTAACAAGTGAACCATCTCCCCTATCTTGACCCATGTTCTATTCCATCATATTTTCTCCCCTACCCTATTGAGAAGGGGGAGCGAAGCACTGTGGCAGGCACCTGGCAGCCAGCCAAGGTTAACTCACCACAGACATCAACAATCCAAACATTTCCTTGCTCTCAGATTATTCAGAGGTGGGTCTTGAACCAACTTGTGATGTGTGTGCCTGGCTAGCCTGACCTACTGGTCCCTCACACCCATCTTGCAACAACACTCTCAGTTCTCTGGCTACCCTACCAGGAAAGCTGTGGCACAGTCACTGATGTGGAGCAGATTCTCCTGGAAAGAATGCTG